AGAGTGAGACCCTGATTCAAAAAAAAAAAAAAAAAATTGTTGTAGAGATGAAGTTTTTCCAAGTTGCCCAGGCCGGTCTCGAAACTGTGGGCTCAGGCAATCCTCTCACCTCTGCCTCCCTAGTGCTAGGATTACAGGTGCGAGCTATCACACCCGACTTAATATCTCTTATTTTTAATAAGGATTTAAAACCCTAAAAAGAGGGTATTACAAATATACTTAAATTTTGGGTTTATCTGGGTGCAGTGGCAATCCAAGGTAATCCCAGCACCTTGGGAGGCCAAGGTAGGAAGGTGGCTTACTTAGGAGTTTAAGACCAGCAAGGGCAACATGGCGAGACCCACCTCTACAAAAAATTTAAAAATTAGCCAAGCATGGAGGTTGTATGCCTGTAGTCCCAGCTGGGGAGTCTGAGATGAAAAGCTTACTTAAGCCCAGGAGTTTACGGTTGCAGTGAGCTATGATTGTGCCATTGTATTCCTGCCTGCGTGACAGAGAAACCTTGTCACACATAAAAAAATTTTTACCCTGCAGTAAAAGCTTGATTTCTAGGTCCAATCGCAGATTTTTGGCTGAATGGAATTTTTACATCCATAAAAGCCACCAGGCTATTTTGTCCAGCAGGGGGAGCTCAGAGTTCAAATACCTTGTATAAGTTTGATGTCGTTTTATCAGTGGTATCGGGAAACAAATAAAAAATCTTCCTCATCAAAACTCTATTGTTGAAGGTAATTTCTGGGCTCAGTGTGGTGGCTCACACCTATAATCCCAGCACTCTGGGAGACCGAGGTGAGAGTATTACCTGAGCCCACAGGTTCAAGAACAGCCTGGGCAACACGGCAAGACCTTATCTCTACAATGAATCAAGAAAAATTAGCTGGGCATGGTGGCACGTGCCTGTGGTTCCAGCTACTTGGAAGGTTGAGGTGGTCGTGAGCATGCCACTGCACTCAAGCCTGGGCAACAGAGGGAGACTCCAACTCAAAAAAAAAAAAAAAGAAAAGAAAAGAAAAATAATCTCTGGGTAGGAGTGCTTGATGCACTCCTCTGGAGCAACACCTAAATCCAGCCATCAGGGCTACCTGGACCAGTGTGGCTGGACCCACATCTAGTCGGCCTCAGGGAGCTGCAGTGTACATGCCAGCTACACCGAAGGCATGAGAGTGGCAGCCAGTTGTCCTCCACGTCACCCACGTTCTAGACCTGAGGGTCTAGAAACGCTGTTTCCAACAAACCCTTCTTCTCTCTGGCTTTGGCTGCAGGCAGCCCTCACAAAACCCGCTGTCCCCCAAGACCAGCTGTGTGAGCTGCTCTCTCACTTTTCCCACCTCATATACTCTGGAAACCCAATTCCTCCAGGAAGGAGGCCAGGAGACAGGTCACCTAAGAAAGCCACAGGTGGCCTGCTGCGCACCATACCTTCTCCATGGTGAGCTGCTTGAAGACGGGGTAATACTTGTGCAGACGCAGCTTTCTCAGCCAGTCGAGAATACCGTTCTGCTCCTGGGTCTGTGGCGTCTGCAGACTGGAAGGCATCAGGATGGCAGGTGAGGTGTCCATCTGGGTCCGGTAGGCCAGGGCTGAGCCTGTGCCGCCCACGTGGGCACAGTGGGGCAAGGCGGTGGCGGTGGCAGGGCCAGCTGGGTGCTGCGTGTGGTGCTGGGCTCCGCTCGGTGAGGACGGGATGCCGGCCACTCCGCACACGGGCCTGCGGGGCGGGGCGTCAGGGCACAGGAAGACCACAGGCGTCTCAGGGTCCCGTGCCAGCACCCGCCTCCTGCCTGCATCTGGCACCAAGTCCCTCTAGACTCTGGGACACCGGCGCCCTCCTCCACTGCCCCCCTGCCTGCCTTCAGCGGCAGCTTCTATAAGCACATGTGTACAGGGCTGATATGCATGAATTCACACACGCTCTGCAAGTGCCTGGGAGTGCACGTGTGTGTACACGTGTCTGCCTGTGCTTGAGTATCTATCTGTGTGCACACACGCATGTGTGTATCTGCCCATACTTGAGTATCTGTATGTACACATGTGTATGTATGTATCTGGCACCACCAGACTTTTGGTTAAGCTGTCTAGTTTCTCTTTGTTTCTTCTGTTTTTTTTTTTGAGTTGGAGCCTCACTCTGTCACTCTCAGCCACCGCAGCCTCGACCTGCTGGGCTCAGGTAATCCATCCAAGGCCTCAGCCTTCCAAGTAGCTGAAACTACAGGCACACACCACCATGCCTGGCTAATTTTTTGATTTATTGTAGAGATGAGGTCTTGCCAAGTTGCCCAAGCTGGTCTCGAACCTGCTGGCTCAGGCAATCCTCTCACCTCAGCCTCCCAATGTGCTGGGATTATTGGCGTGAGCCACCGTGCCCGGCCTCTTCTATTTTTTTTTTAAATATGCTCCTGGGCAACCCCCCCGGGTCCCCTCCCACTGTGGGATCTTTTCTGTCTTCTCAATAAATCCTGCTTTCTTAAAAAAAAAAGAATGTTCCCTAGAAAAGTATTTCTATTACTTTTTTTTTTTGAGTTACAGTCTCACTCTGTCACCCAAGGTGGAGTACAGTGGAATGGCATGCTGACTGCCACCACAGTCTCGACCTGCTGGGCTCGGATGATCCTTCCATCTCAGCCTTCCAAGTAGCTGGAACTATAGGCATGCGCCATTAGAGCCTGGCTAATTCTTGTTGGTTTATTGTAGAGATAAGGTCTCGTCAAGTTACCCAGATTGGTTTCGAACCCATGGGCTCAGGCAATCCTCTCACCTCGGCCTCTCAAAGTGCTGGTATTATAAGCGTGAGCCACCACACCTGGCCTTCTGTTACTTCTACATCACAGGATAATACTGATAAATCATAAATTAAAATGGACTGCTACACCTTTAATATTCAAATTAACTTTTTAAAAAAAAAATAAAGCCTAGAAGGCGGGAAGGCACAAACAGCATTCCACTCTCTGCCCTTGTTCCTTACGCCTTCAACTGCAAACCCACACTTACTATGAGCACTTACTATGTACCAGGCATGGGGGAAGTAAAAAGTCTGCACCTTTCAAGATCTACTGACTGATTCAACCTCCACAACGATCTGCATGTGTGTGCCTGTGTGTGTCAGTGTCAGTTTTCAATAAGAAGGCCTCTGTGTCTCACCAGAGCACTTCTGCCTTATCCTAGGGCCTCGTGCCAACAGGGACCCTCTAACACCTCAAGAGCACAACCAAGAGCCTGTGGGACCCTGGGAGGTCTTACAGAAATGAAGTCTCGGAAGTTCAAGTTCTCCAGGTCTGGGACAGGCCCCAGAATCGCATGTATAAGAGGAGCCCCTGCGAGTCCTGGTTCCAGTGGCTGAGAACTGTTGGCAGGTCGCTGCCACTCAATTCCTCAACTCCCCTGAGACTAGACTTACAGACAACTAAGTCTGAAGACAATGACTTACACACAAGGGAGGGTTGGTGCTGGAAAGTGCTTATTTAATGGCTGACTACACAGAAGACGGCTCACCTTCCAGACACGCCCATCACGGTGCCCACTTTAGAAAGGGAGGGATTGCCAGGACCTATGAATTTTAAAATAAGTATCATTAAAATGTACAATCACAATATCTTCCCTTCATCGCATTTTATAGACTCACTTGGACTTTGAAGCTGTTGGATGGGAGATGAAGAGCTGAGAAACTTCTTCACATGGTCGTTTTTCAATACATGAGATGGTAATGAAGCCAAATACCTACAGAGCCAACAAAAGCACGTGGTCAGCATTGAAACAGCATTCCCGGAAATGAACTGGGAGAGAACAATTTACTTTCTTTTTTTTTTAGGGAAACATAAATAACGTGTATTGAATTATTCTTCTTTTTTTTATATATCAGTATTTTTTATTTTGATATTGTGGGGCACAGTTTAGGGTTAGGTATACAAATGTGCTTCGTTCAGGCCCCCTGACAAGTTATTTTCAACGAAGAGAAATGAGGATGAGAGACGACAGCGGAGGGAGGCTCTGCAAACCCTCCCCCGCTCAGGAAAGTCCAGCGTGGGTTCTGATTGCTGTGCCCCCTTGCCTCCCACCCTGCCCATCCTCACAGCACCCATCAGGCTCACATGGCCTGCGATGCCAGCAGGGCACTGCCACACACCAGCACTTGGAGCCACCCGCCACCTGAGATGCCACTGGCTCAGACATCTACCCCAGGCAGCAAGACTGGGCCTCCTCACATATTTGCAGACCCGTGTTTGGTGCACACCACGTGTGGGTCCAGAAAACCTGTTTATGAAGCGCTTGTGCCTGGGAACAATCTCAATTTTTTTTTTTAGTCAGGGTCTCACTCTGTCACCCAGCCTGGAGTGCAGAGGCATGATCACAGCTCACTGTAGCTTTGACCTCCTAGGCTCATGTGATCCTCCCACCTCAGCCTCCTGAGTAGCTGGGACTACAAGCACAAGCCATCACCAAACCAGCTAATTTTCTGATTTTTTTTTTTTTGTAGAGACAAAGTCTCGCTACGTCGCCCAGGCTGATCTTGAACTCTTGGCTTCAACTGATCCTCCCACTTCGGCCTCCCAAAGTTCTGGGATGACAGGTGTGATTCACTACACCTGGCCTGACAGCCAAATCAACTTTTAACCATAGAAAAGAAACAGTTATCCAATACTGTATTACAAGACTGCCAAAATCACATTACATGGCCATATATACTTCAAAATTCCTTTCCAAATGCCCTCAAAAAACACCCCTAGGTTATTAAGAGCTTTTCAATTCTCTATAACTAATGAAAATCCCTAAAGGTGGTGGTTGGGTGCAGATTACATGCCTGTAATTTCAGTGCTTTGGGAAGCCCAAGTGGAAGGACCAGGAGTCGAGACCAGCCTGAGCAACACATTATAGATCCCCATCTCTACAAAAAAAAAAAAAAATCCCTATAGGCAAAATAGAGAGCCCGAAAGCGGCCACAGGAGCTCCTCAGAGGCCTAAGGACTTCCCTGCAGGACCCACCCGTCCCCCCCCGCCCACTGCAGATGCATCAGACAGCGCAGCCCCCTGCCCAGCCACTCCCACAGCCCTGGAGAAGAGCCTCACCTCAGGCCTGCCTCCAGATCCATGTGGTTTCGCTCCACATAAAACGAGTCTGGGCCAGCTAAGCAAGGAATGAGTTTCTCCAAATTTTCTTCAGGGTAGAGCTGAGACAGCTGGAAGAGAAGAGTGAGCACGGGACATGGGTCATGATCCAGTGATGCCCGCAGCACTCTTCAGTGTGGAAACTCCGCAGCCAGCACCTGTCGTGCCCCCTGCTGGCCTGACGTGCCCCCCAGCACAGAGGCCACCTGGGGGTTTTTCATCCAGAGGACAGAGAAACCACAAATGCGCATTGCTCCTGCCACAGTAGCAGACAAAGAGTGATCACCTGCTGTCGCATTTTCCTCAAGCCCTCAGAGATCTGCAAGACCACCACGTGCAGTGAATTTCCAATGGGTCTGGCCACGGGGAGACACAGGGCACAGGCCACTACGGCCACCATGCCCCAGGTCAGAAGAGCTGGGCTAGCCAGACGTGCTGCACAGAGTCCTTCTGTTGGGGAGGGGCGGGGGTTCTGAGGAAGCCCAGCCCACAGCCCAGTACAAAGGCCCCGCCTGGGACGTAGCTGGGCTGAGAGAGTGGGAAAGCCCACGCGAGTTCAACACCAGGAGCAAGCAACTGTAGCCAGCCCTGGGGAAGGGGCTGGGGAGCAGAGCACATCCTATCCCCTCTGTGCCACAGGCCCACATGGGCTGCTGACAGTGGGGAGAGGAATCAGATGGCAGAGGAGCCATGAGGCACAGGCCACACAGTCCTCTACTGGAGGGCCCTGCAGGCCACCACGGCCACCACAGAAGCCTAGGCAGCTCAGCCCCTTCCCAGACAGACTCGAGGTCCCACTGAGGGCACAGCAGAGAGGTGCCTGCTCTTTCCACGCACAAATACTGTTTTCTTTCGGCTCTATGGTCTCCCAAACACGATGTCTAACATTTCATCAAAATTTACAAGACACGCAAAACATAAAGGGGGAAAACTACTGTCAGGAGATAAAGCCATCACCAGAACCAGACTCAGAACCAACCAGGTGCTAAACTACCAGACAGAGGCTTTAAAATAACTATAACTAAAGGATGTAGTAAAAAAGGTGGCAGCATGCATGAGCAATGGGAAATGGCAGCAGAGTGATGAGAACTTGACTACAAGACACATCAAATGGAAAACTCGGGAAAAACCCAACCCAACCATTGGGACCAGAGGTGAGGACTGCAGTATATGCAACAGCCCCTCAGCTGCCTGGGCAGAGCTGGGGGAAGACCTGCAGACGCGAAAACAGAGCAACAGGAACGACCCAACCGAGCAGACCTGGGGCACGAGGAGGGGCAGGCCCAAAGGCCTGAGACACGTGACCAGAGCCCCAGGGGAGGGACAGGCACAGATGGTACCTGAAGCCCATGGACAAGACAATGAATCGGATCCCCAAGGTCAGAGAACCCCAAGCAGCGTAAACATAAGCTGGTGTGAACACCTACAAACAACCAAGGATAGATCACGTGCTCGCCGGCATTGGTGGAGTCCAGGAAAGCTGGGTTTTGATAAAACAAGAAGTCAGGCACTGAAGAGAAGAAGCCAGTGTTCCTAAACATTACAGAAGAAAACAAACTCCCAGGGGGTATGGGACCCTGGAAGGCATGGCACTGCGGTGCTCCCCAGCACCCAAAGGACAGGTGTTCATCTTCCATTCAAGCTGTGAGGACAGGACCCCTCCACCAAATGTTCTCCCATGGGATCATAGCCTTGATTCAATATTGGACGTGTAAGACTCACTCTGGAGACAGCTGTGTGAAGGCATCAGCAGAGGTGACTATTTGACACGTATTATTTTGGCTAAGATAGTAGTTCACTGCTCCAGCAAAGGCCAGCGAACGCTAAACATAAATGTATGTACATGCACATGTGTAAAGAGGTTATTTATTTAGTAGTGGGACTTTTTGTTCAAATGACATGTATTGAGCCAATTTATAAAACAGGCAAAGTTGGTGTGCACCAATAGTCCCAGCTATGCGGGAAGCTGAAGTGGGAGGATCACTTGAGCCAGGAGTTCGAGTCCAGCCCGGGCAACATAGCAAGACCCCATCTCTTTTAAAAAAAAAAAGAGGAGAAAGAAAGAAGGAAGGAAAGAAAGAAAGAGAGAGAGAGAGAGAGAGAGAGAGAGAGAGAGAGAGAGAGAGAAAGAAAGAAAGAAAGAAAGAAAGAAAGAAAGAAAGAAAGAAAGAAAGAAAGAGAAAGAGAGAAAGAAAGAGAGAAAGAAAGGGAGCATAAAGGGCACAGGCGAGGTCTTTGCCCACGTGGCCATCTGAGTGTGCCCTGTTCTCTCAGCCTCTGCCAAGGAAACCCAGGGGGCTAAGAGTGACAACAACAAGGCCATCGGCCACTCACGCCCGGGCCCTCTCTGCCTCATCTCAGTCTTGGCACTGGCAGAGGTGAGCCTGCGGCGTCAGGATCATGCGGCCACCGCGGCACAGCAGGAAGTGGCTCTGGGCTTCTATGCCCCAGCACACGGCCTGGCCCTGCACGCACTCTGCCCACTGAAGGCAGTGCTCCTGGGAGTACCCGCGTGTCCTCACCCACCGGGAGCGAGCACATGGCTGGCGGAAGAGCCTCGGTCACCTTACCTTGGAAATAAATTCAGTCACTTCAGAGGAAGATTTGGTTACTGATGTTACTGAAGAATCAGACCACAAGACCTTAAAAACAAATAAACAAACATACCTTAAAAACAGACGCCACATACTTAGTTCACAGCACACATGCCCTGGTACCACAGTGGGATCGGTCTGTCAGTGGCTGGCCCTGGGGCTGCACAGAGCTGCAGGGAGCGACAGCCGTCCCTGCCTTGATACAGAAGGAACAGGCAGAGGACTCCCGTCCAGAAAGCTTGGCTTCTTGAATTGCGCAACCGGTCAAACATCACCAAGTCACCCAACATGAGGTCTACCACTTGCTCCTCTATGTTCCAAAGCTTCCTCACAATTCCAGTGGCTGTATCTGCCATGTGCCTCTTCCTTGGGGGACTCCTGTCCTGGGAAGGTCTAGTGGCTTTGGCTGCAGAATCAATGAGCCCCCAGCAATCGGTCCTTCATCCCACCACACAGGACAGGGCAGTGGGTCCTGGAGCAGCAGGACAGGTACTCCACAGGAAGAGGAGACAGGGTCAGGCAGAAGGAACCTGGGAGGGACACCAGAAAGAGCTTTCTGGAAGGAGTGCCTGACACCCAGTGTGACCAGGCCCTGGCGGGAGCATCTGACTCCTTCTCCTAGCACACAGTATAGCTGGCACTGTCGTTTCATGACTTCATAGTTGCCCATCTCCCTAAGTGGACTGTGAGCTCTGAGGGAGGAGGTGCTGTGTCTCTCTGCTCCACGTCCTTCCTGCTGTCCCGTGTGTGTCATGTGCAGTGCTGAGGGAACTTGACTGGGAGGAGAGCACTTCTGTACACTAGAGGGTGTTCCTGCATGGAGGAAGGCCTGGCAAGTCAACTAAAGGAACGAGGCAGACAGCGAGGGTGGCCTGAGATGGCAGGGAGGTGGGATTAGATCGGGGGAACGCACACCAAACACAAACTGGATTCTCAAATCCAGGAGAGGTCATAGGAGAATTTCAAGTCAGGAGATAAGATGCCCACATGCACGATGCAAAAGAAAACACGTTTACACTGACAGAGAGCAAAATGCGCTCAGAGACACGAACGCTGCTTTGCTCCCCTAGGCCACCTTCTGAACTAATCCACCCGTTTGCTCAGCCGCAGGGCCTGAAAGGGCCCAGGTCTACCAGTGGGCCTCCCTCTCCATTGAGTCATGGCCGTGCCTAGTGATAGTCATAATGGGTTCACTGCATTGGCTCTCGGGAAACACGAGGAAGTTGTGGTGAGAAGCCTAGCATCTGCCAGAACTCACCCGCGCTCCTGGAACTAACCACTGCTAGGGATGCACCTTGCCACCCTAAATCTTTCTACACTGAACATGAACATGCCTGAACCCGCTTCTGTCTGAAATATTACAATCTCAAAAACGCAAAAGAAGTTTAGGGAGGGGCATAAGCTGCTCCCACATAAACCCCAGGAACATCTCTGATGAAAGATGAAAGCCCTCATCCTTGAGAGGTTTGACCCAAAGCACTGCTGACCACTTGTATTTTCTTCTTTTTTTTTTGAGTTGGAGTCTCATTCCGTCACCCAGGCTGGAGTGCAGTGGCACACTCACAGCCATCACAGCCTCAACCTGCTGGGCTCAGGTGATCCTTCCATCTCAGCCATCCAACTGGCTGGAATTACAGACACACGCTACCACGCTCAGCTTATTTTTTGATTTATTGTAGAGACAAGGTCTCACCAAGTTGCCCAGGCTGGTCTCGAACCCCTCAGCTCAGGCAACCCTCAAACCTCGGCCTCCCAAAATGCTGGGATTACAGGCTTGAGCCACTGTGCCTGGCTAGCTTATGTTTTCAAAGTAAAACATGTCGCAAAAAGTTTCCTTTTTCTTCCAACTCTTATGCCTGTTTTCAGGTTGAACCTTTTCTTCCATTCATACTCCAACCTAACCCAACAAAGGTACGACACCCAACACCAAACAATGGTGCAGCATAGACAGGTCACTTCACGCTAAAGTAGACAGCCAGCTTTTTCCAACAATTAAGTGCTTTGAGTAAGCACACCTATCCGAGGTTGTGTTCCCGGTACATTTTCCTTTTCCTTGCAGATGGAGCTGACTTTTCCCCCAAGGCAGCTCTGGAAACCAGTAGTGCTCAGACAGGCAGGACCTGGGAATGCTGGTTTCACCCTATAGGTGATGCTGGTTTCCCTCCAAGCTGTTACAGCTGAGATCAGTCCCTTGGGTCCTGGGTTACCTGGCCTCACCCGCCCCACAGCACCAGGAGTGGAAAGGTCATTGGAGGGGTGTGGAGACAGGAAGTCGGGCTCGTGCCATGCCAACCTGACCCATGCTATAGAGACATGTGTCCAACCAGACCCAAGGCAGCATCAACGATCACTACCCCCTGGTTTTACCTATCACCAACAAAAAGTGTCACCAATTCCACTGAGGCACAGTATTTTCCTGTCACTTACGCAAAAGCAACCTGGCTTTATCTGGACAGATGTCAACACAGCTTTATCATACCCAAAAAACCAAGCACACACAGAACACATCTATGCTCAGGACACCATCATGCAGATTCTAATGCCTCTGAATCATGCTTACTTGGCTCTCAACACTCGTGTTTTCCCACACAGCACCCTGGAGCAGCACAGCCTCTTTCTGTATAAAGAAACAGCCCAGCCAGACATCCCTGAGGGCAAGTCCTGGCCACACCCCTAAGGGAACAGGCATCCCAGGACCCAACCCTGGAGAAGAGCTGAAGCTTGGCAGAGAAGCAGTCATTCAGCAAAGTGCCCGAAGGAAGCACAGACTCCCTTTTTAAGAAAATGAAACATCATCATTAATATTCTTGTCGAACTAAAAAGAAAGCACGTGTGAACATATCCAGGAACAGGATGCTATGAAAAAAGAACTGTCAGTGCACAAGAGTTCTCTGAAATGGAAAATGGGAGATAGCAGTGAGAAGCTGCACCGACGAGACCAAGACACGGCCCCCTTCCATCAAGCAGAGTGAACCCCATAGCACACCACACGCCTGAACACGAGAGGAGTTCCAGACAACCCAGGGACACCTGGGGGGCAGAGCAGCCTTCTGAGTGCTTGTCACTAGGCCAAAAATAAAAAGACAACTCCAGGGAAAACAAAATGCCAGGTGAGAAGAGAGGAGTACCCAGATATACCCCATAGCTCAGCCAGGGTCCACCTCCCCAGTTGCATTCATCTGCACAGGATCTGGGGAAGCATCCATGCCCACGGAGCCTTAGGATTCTGGCATGTCCTGCAGACAACCGGGCTCCCTACTCGTGTACAGACAACCTGATAGAAACAAAACTCAGTTACAAAAACAGGTGCCATGACTCATCCTTTACTGATAGCAATGAAATATTCAGAGTGGTTAGTGTTGTTTTGAGATGAAAAAAAAAAATTAAAGATACAACACTAAAATAAATGTAACGTCTGGGTGATTTTAAGACATAATGGTTTAAAGAGTCACTTTCTATCAGCATCACCCAGTAACTCCGTTTAAGTCAGTACAATCTTAAGTCTTCATAGGTGTTCCAAGGGCTGAGAAATCTTCTGATATTATTTTCCTCTCTGTTCATCATTTATAATAAGAAAGATTTTTAAATTAAAAGTAAGTTTTAGTTATTTTAGTTTCTTAAAAGTAAATATGGCAAAGCTGGTAAGATGTAGACATTTCATATGCATATAGTTACATGTTAATTTTATATTCAAAAAGATTTTGCCATTTGCTTCCTTCATACTGATTTGATTTCCAGTATTTCCAGCAGTAACTAGTAACCAGCAATTACAATTCCAGCAAAATTAAAACCAACACCATGGAAGAGATCAGGAAACACAGCTGCTATTTATAGCGACTTGTACATCTTGAAGTCATCTTAATCCAGCTGCTTACAGCTTCCTATAAAATCGTAACCTTTTATTTGTATCCTGGAAAACAATGATACATAAAAATTAAAACTAGATAGAAACAAGGCTGAAAACTCACTGGGGCTGGGAGAAGTTGTTTACTTCTCCCTGAATAAGTTAAGCTTCAGAAAAACTGTTTCTTTGTATCTTCCTATACTGCTACAGACTGCTATACCTCACCAAGTGTGGGGGACACTCCTAAGAAAGCTTTTTTTACTGTTCTTCTCACAGTGTAATAGCTACTTACTTCAATTTATAAAGTTCAGCTTATTTAAAGGACAATGTATTTAATTTTCATTAGTCAGGGTTTTGTGGGCAAAAATTTGAATTCTCAAATAGATTTTTTTTTTTTTTTGAGTTGGAGTGTCACTCTCTCGCCCAGACTGGAGTGCGGTGGCACGCTCCTGGCTACCGCAGCCTCGCCCTGCTGGGCTCCGGTGATCCTTCCGCCTTAGCCTTCCAAGTAGCTGGAACTACAGGTGCGCATTACCATGCCCAGCTAATTATTTTTTATTATTTATTGTAGAGACGAGGTTTCGTCAAGTTGCCCGGGCTGGTCTCAAACCCGTGGGCTCAGGCAATCCACTCGCCTCAGTCTCCCAAAGTGCTGTGATTACAGGCTGAGCTGAGCCTGGCCTCAAGTAGATTTTTTAAAAAGAATTTTTATGAATTATAATTGACAAAAAGCTGCACCTATTTGATATGTACGATTTGATGTTTCAATGTATGAAAACATCTGTGAGGTGCCCCCCCCGGCCAAGACTGTGAACTTGTTCATCCCCCAAGGTTTCCTCGAGCCGCTCCCCAGGAAACTACTGACCTGCTTTCTGTTGCTATGGGTTAGCGTGCATTTTCTAGAATTTTAAGTGGGCTCGTAAAGTATTCTTTTTTTGGGAAGGTGTAGTGTCTGGTTTCTTTCACACAGCATAATTGAGATTCATCCACATTGCTGAATGTCTCAATGGTTCACTTTTTTTTTGTAATTTTAGAGACTGGGCCTCACTCTGAAGCCCAGGCTGGAGTGCATGGTGCAATCGCAGCTCACAGCAGCCTCGAACTCCTAGGCTCAGGCAAACCACTTGCCTCAGCCTCCTGAGTAGCTAGGACTAACAGGCATTGCTACCATTCCCGGCTAAATGTTTTGACTTTCTGATAGAGATGGGTTCTCGCTATGTTGCCCAGGCTAGTCTTGGATTTCTGTGCTTGAGTGATCCTTCTGTCTCAGCTCCCGAAGTGCTGGGATTATAGGTGAGCCACCACACCAGGCTGGTTTACTCCTTTTTACTTATTTTTTGAGTCAGGGTCTCATTCTGTCACCCAGGCTGGAGTGCAGTAGCACGCTCATGGCCACTGCAGCCTCTCCCTGCTGGGCTCAGGTGATCCTTCCACCTCAGCCTTCTAAGTGGCTAGAACCACAGGCATGTGCCACCACGCCGGGCTGATTTTTTGACTTACTGTAGAGACGAGGCCTCGCCATGTTGCCCAGGCTGGTCTTGAACCCTTGGACTCAGGCAATCCTCTCGCCTCTGCCTCCCCAAGTGCTGGGATGACAGATGTGAGCCACTGCACCCAGCTGGTTTACTCCTTTTTATTGCCAAGTAGCATTCTACTGTATGGACAAAATGCCAGAATTTGTGTATCCATTCTTTTGTGACCGACTTCTTAGCTGCTTCAGTCCTGGAGTGTAACAAACGAAGCCACTATGGACACTCATGCCCGAACCTGTATGAAGAATGCTTAATTTCCCTTTGGCAAATGCCTGGCCATGGAACCGATGGGTCACACTGCAGGTGTATGTTTACCTTTTACAAGAAACTGCCAAGCTGTTTTCCCAGTCGCACCAGTTCTCATCCCTACCATCAGCACACGAGGTTCCAGCTCCTCCACTCCAGCCTGCGACTGGTGGCCTGACTCTTGTGGAGCATTCTAGTGGCGTGCAGGGTTCTCTCTGTGGGGTTCACTGTGTTTTCCTATCTGCCACCCGTACATCTCCCTTGGCAAACTGTTCAACTATGTCTACCATTTTTGCTGGGCTGTCTTAGGATTGCGTCTTGAACATAAACCCTTCACACGATACGTGATTTCTAGCGACCGTCTCCTGATCCGTGATGCATCTTTCCATGCCCTTCACGGTGCATTCAAAGAGAAAGCTCTGATGAAGTCCAACTCACCAATTTGGACTTCTATGGATCGTGGTTTTGGCATTGGATCTAAGAAGCTTACACCTAGTTTATTTTTTTATTTTTTAGAGTGAAAATCTCACTCTGTCGCCCAGGTTGGAGTGCAGCGGCACACTCACAGCCACCACAGCCACAGCCTGCTGGGCTCAGAAGATCCTTCTGCCTCAGCCTTCCAAGTAACTGGAACCACAGGTGTGTGCTACCATGCCTGGCTGATTTTTTTTACTTATTGTAGAGACGAGGTCTCACCAAGTTGTCCAGGCTGTCTCAGACCGTTGGGCTCGGACAATCCTCTTACCTCAGCCTCTCAAAATGCCGGGATTACAGGTGTGAGCCACTGCACCCGGGGTTCACCTAATTTAAATCACAAAGTGTTCTCCTATGTGATCTTCTAGAAGTTCTACCGTTTTCAGCTTTACCTTCAGGCCTGTGAGCAATTCTTAATTCGCTGCTGTAGAAGAGGCACTCTGTATACGCGTATCTGGTCCAGATGGCTGAGGGGCACCCCATTCACTGTGCTGCCTCCCCATCCAACCTCTTGACTCTGCGGGCCCGGCCTGCAGCCTGCTTCCATCTCGCCCGTCTGTGACACCAACCCTTCAGCAATACCAGTGTCGTGATCTGTCACTGAAGACACCTTGAGATCAAGTAGTGTGAGTTTTCAACATTTTTCTTCTTTTTAAAATTGTTTTAATTACTCTAGTTCTTTCCACGTAACTTTCAGAATCAACTCGTTGATTTAAAAAAAAAACTACCACTCAGGATTTTGGAGGCAGGAGTTCATTTAAAAAGAGAGAAAGCTCAGTGTATTTACAGATGTGTCACATCCTCTGCTCCTCAGGGTGGCCCATGGCCACCTTCCTTATGGAGTTGTAGCCTCTGGTGACTGCTAGCAAGGAATGACCGTGCTTCAGTGTGGTTCCACGCTTCCTACGGGACAGAGACCCAGATCCAAGACACATGAATGACAACACCATAGGTGCCTTACATGCAACCTCTTATTTAAGAGTCTAAGGACACAACCCACTGACAAGGACCAAAATGAGCACACAGTTTAAGCTGTGCCAATGAGCAGCATGTTTTGCAGATAAGAAGACAGATTTTTAAAATGCTGATAGTAACATCCTTCCTCTGTACCTTGAGTCACCCACCAACATGTGCAGTTTGGGCTGTGATTCTCAGGGCTTATCAAGTGAGGCCACAGAAGAAACACCAGGTGCACTGCCGGTGGGGGGGGGGAGAGGTGGTGATCAATTTCCTAAACACAGAACCACTTTCAGGTAGCAACAGAGAAGAGCAAGCTTTTCAGACAGCGAAGCCTCCTCTGACCCTACGGTAGAGAATATCTTCAATGGAAGCTCTCAACTGGATGGCAGCTGTCAACGCGAACACCCAGTGCGGGCTCTCTTCCACTGTGTCTCGGGTGGCACCATGCTGTCAGAGCACCCAGGGCCCGCCTCCACCCTACCACTCCCTCCTGGCCATGAGCGGCGCCATGCCTATTTCCCTCAAGCTCATTTCTTTACAGAGAAACTACAGGCAGTCTGGCTGCATGAAGCTGCCACATCCCAGGTGGTATGGCCTGCTTTCCTTGCTACAAACACCTGGACCAAGGACAAGGGGCAAGTCAAAGTCCATTATGGTCAGATGAGATGAAAATGAGGCCAGCCCCACCTGAAATGAACTCCTGCAAAACACTCAGGTTCTGACAGAGGCTAGCCGCCGCGCTGAGGGGTCAGACTCGGAAACACCAAGGAAGGAAAGGACACCGCCGCCACTCCCTCAGAGACAATCAAATGCCCAGGAGCCTGGACTGCTGCTGGGCCCCATGGCACCGGGAGGGCCTGCAACCTTTCCCAGGGCCCTGCCTTGGCGATGCTGGACTCAGCGGAATCCTGCGGCTGCCATCACAGGTGCCACCAAACTCTAAACCTCAGTTAAGTGTCTTCCTTACATTTTGGGAAGACAAATGTACAGCATAACAATTGATCTCACAACACAGAACCTCCCAAATCAAAGGAAGATGGATCCTTTTTATGGTAAAAGGATTTAAAGTATTTTGATATAGCTACGTTCTTCAAAAAAATCCGTAAGTTACAGAGTATACATCCTGGACACTGATCAGAGCTTCCCTTCCTGAGAACACCTGCCAGCAACACCGGGAGCCGACTTTCACGAACAGCCAGCATTCAATCTCACCATGACAGATGGGTAACAGCCCTGACCGGGCTGGGGACATAGCCAGCCAGGATGCCCTTCCCAGCATCTTTTGGAGATAAGTGGGACCAAAAAACTGTATTCTGGCCAACAAAACAGAAGCGGAAGTGTCTCAAGGCTGCTTTTAGGAACACTCCTTAAAATAAAGACAAATAGTAACCTTCACATCCTGCATCTTGCTGCCCAGAGTGAAAACACGAGGGATGGAGCCCTGGTTGCCATCCTGAGCCAAGAGGCTGAGCGCCACATCTTAGGGACATTGCAGCAGAGCCTGGAGGAAGCCCGTCCCCGAGGGTTTTTTTTTTTTTTCTTTTTCTTTTTTTGAGTTGGAGTCTCACTCTGTCACTCAGGCTGGAATGCAGTGGCATGCTCCTGGCCACCACGGCCTTGACCTCCTGGGCTCCGGCGACCCTTCCGTCTCAGCCTTCCTAGTAGCCAGAACTACGAGCATGTGCTACCATGCCGAGCTAATTTTTTGATTTATTGTAGAGACAAGGTCTCACCATGCTGCCCAGGCTGGTTCCGAACTCGCAGGCTCAGGCAATCCTCCCGCCTCGGCCTCCCCAAGTGCTGGGATTACAGGCTTGAGCCACTGTGCCCGGCCAAGGGTTTTTTTTTCATGTCAGACAGACAACGTGCCAATGTTGTAACAAGGCTTGAGGGAGGTACCCTGCAAGCACACGTGAACACATGGTCACCACATTTAGGAGCACCCCTGAGGCTATGTGAGGCAGTCACCACACCAGTGGGGCCACCGCCTGTGGACTCTCCCGCGAGAGGGAAAGGGGCATTTGTGCTGTCCAGCCGCTGCAAGGGTGGGACTCTCATTTCAAGGCAGCTCTGCATTCATGGGTCTTCACTCCTCCTGCTGGCACCTGACACATCCGTTTAGAGATGCCCCTCCCGTCATGTGGCAACTGAGAGAACAGGTCATCCGTGCGGGAGCTGCACACTCACATGCCAGACTCCCTACCCGGTCTCCATGGGCTGGTACGCACAACTTGCCCAGGGCCCCAGGAGGGACCAGTCACACCCCCACTGGGCGAGAGCAGCTCTGCCATCGCCCCAGGCACACAAACAGTGTGGCTCCCCATCCCGCCCCGAGGCGCCCCTCCCCCTGGAGGCCCGGCAGTGCAGATGGCACCAACCCCACCCCAGTGGCCTCTGACCTCGCACGGCTGGCAAGGGGCTTCCCAGGGCACAGCCCCAGCTACAGATATGCCAGCGTCTTCATGGTAAATGTTTCCTTCCTACCCTTAGAGGAGGAGGGGAAAAAACTTAGTATCTTACCTCAAAGGAACATTCAACATTTCTGTCATTTTTTGTGTGTGAAAATCCTTTCAGGTCTATCTTTTCAACACTCACTGTAAAAGTAAAAAAAAAAAAATCAAAATTATAAAAATGAAATAAGAGCTTGAGGTACACACATGATTACTTCGCTTTTGATATTGTAGCAACTTCCAGAACAAGGCTCTCAGCACCCGGGCTCCCACCCTTCTGCCCTTGAAGCCGCAGGCTTCGCAGGAGGGCAGGAGGCAGGTGAGCTGAGAGCGAATTAAAGCAAGATGGAAGGTACAGACAGCAGGCAGTGCCAGGTCAAGGTAGGGCCAAAGCCAGTGCTGGCACTGAGCACAAGCTGAGTGGGCACACGTGGCACAGGCCGGGGCCCCTGTCAACCTTGCCATGTGCCATCTCTGTTCTGACACTCAACATTCCCACCACGATCCTGCTCAGCAGCATTACCCTGGACACAGAGCACCTGTCAGTAGAGCAGCGCTCTCATCCTCCCGACAGGGAGGAATGGAGACCTGTGCAGCCACAGGGGCCTCCACAGAGACGAGCACAGTCCTGAGAGGGGCAAGGAGGCAGACTGCAGTCTCGCAAGGGGACAGCGCCAGGGACGGGAGCCGTGGCAGGGCCAGAAGCCACCAGCCTCCCCATCAGCCCTTCCTCCTCAAAAACAAGGAGACACAATCACGTGCTCAGTGCTATTTCTACATGAGCCAAATGTCTGTTCAAGGTAAAGCAGCCCCTTCCCGAGCACGCCAGCCTGACTTCCACTCCAGCAGGGTGTGCATCCTGCTGTTGATGCAAGGCGGGCACTTCTCCGCCTTCTGTCTGGTTCACAAACATTCACGTTTCACAGGCACGAGTGGTCAGACCACCCACCCTGGACAGGTGACCAGGAAGGACCTGGCTCCCCACGTGCACATGGCACACAGGGCACCTTCCTCCACTGGTCCTTCCGCTGCCAGCGGCCATCTGGCGGTGAGCAGCGGGGCTTTCTGCAGATCCACGACAGCTAACTTTGTCCAATACGAAACACTCAACATAACTCATTAAAATGATGATGTGATCCTTTCTGCAGATGCCCAGACGCACTCCTGGCCTGCCACACCAACACTCTCCAGAACCTTCTCCATGGAGTGCCGGCGCTCTCCCATAGGCAGGGTCTCAGAAACTGCACTGGTAAGAAAGGTGTGGGAGAGAGGACCTCAGAAGCCCCTTCTCTAGACTGTCAGTGTACATTAGCATACTAAAGACTCTGAGAAGTCAAGTCCTGCAGTCAGTCAGTCTTTTTTGTATAAAACATTTCCCCAGCTTTTCAGCCACAGAACTTTCCCCCAACCCGTCTGAACCTCTGAAGGCCCACGACCCACTCCTGCAGCACACTGGGGGGAGGGTTCCACACTGGTACTTCCCAATTCCAAAGCCACTAACTATCATGACTATTTAAATTAATTAAAATGAAATAAAATGAACCACTCAATCCCCAGCTGTGCTAAAAACCAAGCAGCCACACATGCTAGTGGCTGCAACACTGGGCAGCACAGACACAAGTCACTGTCAGCAGGCGTGCTCTCTGGACAGCGCCGTGTGAACCAGGCCCAGGCTGTGCCCTCCACCCACACATCCTCCGCTCACAGCTGCTGTGGACACCTACGACTTCCAAGGTGAAAGGCATTCCCAAGGTATGTCTTCGCACAGTGACTTGCCTGCCCCTGCCCTGAACCAGCAGGCCATACTCATGCCCGGCAAGTGCTATGGAGACCCCGTACTTCCCAGGTCGCATTCTGGGTGCCATGTGGGTGGGGAGCCCTCCATGCTGCCCTGCTTTCCTGGCTTGACCTCCCTCAGAGTAGAGGACGTGGGGGCGACATGCATCTCAGGACACCAGGGTCTACTCAGTTTAGGGGTTTTTAAGCTAAAATACACCTTAAAGGAAGGAATTCCTCTAAAAAAAAAACAAACCCCAAAAAAACCAAGAATACTTATTTCCTTTCTGGCTGCATTTAAAGGTTGTAACCCCCCCCACCCCCCACCTCACACAGTAAAACCGCTCACTACTCCTGTGAGCCTCCCTCAGGCAGACTGTCAGCGAAGAAATCGCTTCTATGTTTTTCTAAAGCAGCATTTTAAAAATGGACTCACAATGACATCACTCTAATCCACATCTTTCACTGTTTTAAACAATAGCCTATATAATGTCAATGAACACAGGAAAATGTAGTCAGTCTTTTCCCTGGCCACAGAGATCAGTGTGTACCGAGTCCCAAGCCTGAATGATATTAGGGTTTCTGAAAAAAGGTAAAAAGAAAAAACCCCATCTGGACTGAGGTGGGAAATGACTCATATCTGGACAGGAAAATGGGAAAAGCAGAGGAATGTTATTCAGCTGTTTTCAAATAAAAGAGGCATGTCAAGCTCCAGGCCTGAAACGCTCGAGCCAGCAGCAGAGCGGCTGCCCCGGCAGCAGATCAGCCGCCCCGCCACCAGGGCAACCCAGGCCCAGGAAGACGAGCCAGCACTGCTGGCCAGAGCACAGCCAGCTCCCCCGGCTCCTGCCCTGGACACTGTGTGCTCCCTGGGACTTTGGAGACTGAGAAGAGGAGCCTGCAAGAGAGAGGGAAGGCCACCGAGAGAAGCGAGGGTAGCCCCAGGGCTTGGGCCAGGAACAGGTTTAGATTTAGATTAGAAAGTATTTAAGCAGACTCTCAATTCTGGAACCACTAAGTGAAGACCACGGTTATGAAGACCACAACAGGAAAAATGCTCACTCATATTCACTGGAAAGTTATAAATAATATGCATAACATAGTTTTGTTTAAAACTGGAAATGAAAAACACTAAAAATAAATGATCAAAAATGATAGGGATAATTGTGTATGATGGTAGAATTTGGGGTAGTTTTCTCCCCCAAACTTCTGTAATGTGTTTCATAATATCACAGTGAATAACTATATGCATGAAAATATCTGCTTACAATGCACTTAAGTCTGTGCCCACAGAGAGCCACTGTTCCCCCCTCAGCCCTGCACACTGTCACGGAGGAGACACCTTCTGGAGAGGGCAGCAAACACGCACAGGAACATGCAGGACAGAGTTTCACGCCACCAGGAGACGACAGGCGCAAGAGAACAGAGGTGACTCCCAAGACAGGACCTGCATCACTGAGAAAGACTCCGCAATGAAGCAGAAAGCCTATCCACCTATGGGGCTGGAGCCCACGGCAGCCATGGCCAGGACGAGGGTCTCACGAGAGCTGAGGAGAAGCCTGGGCAGTGAAGGGAGGGAACCAGGGAAGGGTGGGCGCCATGTCTAGGCATGTTTGTGGGGGATGGATGGCTGAGACACAGGACCCGAGGTCGGGCCAGGCCTGCTCCCTCATTATAAAGTGAGAAAGAAAGCCGGGCTTGGTGGCTCAACCTATAATCCCGCGCCTTTGGGAGGCTGAGGTGAGTGGA